TACAGATCCAGTACTGACGGAACATCCCCTTCCCCTTTAGCAGTAAAATAGGTACCTGGGTGTTAGTCAGCTGTCACGGGCTGCTTCCTGGAGGTGGAGGCCTGGTCGAGGACTGGGCCGCGGGGACACTAAAGCCCCGAAATCATCTCAAGATAACCTCAAGATAACCTCCCTCATTCTTGTGGCCTGCTTGACGTGTTGATACATGAATGTCTCCAGAATGAGGTTCACAAATCTGCCTGTTCAAATGTTCTTCGTTTTTGCTTCGTAGGCCTCCCAGTCTATTGCTTTCAAGTTGAATTCCCTCAGTACCATCAATCGTGACTTATCTTTATCTGCTTTTTCTATAATCTCTCTCATGACCATTATGAGGCCCTCTCGTTTGTCATCCAGTTCCTCCTTTGTCCATGTGTTGCTTGCTGGTGAGCTGTAGGCATTTACGATCATCAGTTTATCATCCTGATTCCAGACCTGCAATGCCATTATGTCAACTTGTCGAAGGTTGTTGATTATTAATTTTCTTACCTTCCGGTGTTGTTTCACCAGCACAGTCACTCCTCCCACCTTCCTAGTTTTCCTGTCACGTCTCCAGACTGAGTAGCCCCTTGGGAATACCACCTCCTTTAAAACATTTTCTTCATTTTCGTCTCTGTTAGTGTGGGATCTAACAATATCTGGGACCTTGAGCTGAATTATATCTCTTAGCTCCAGTATTTTTTATTTCATTCCATCTATGTTGGTATATACAATTTTCAGGAACATGTTCCCTTTCCATTTGTCCTTTACTTTCCCTTCCTCTAATGGTTTTGTTGCATTGTTTTTATGTACCATTTCACTAGCTTTCCAGTCCCTAACATTATGTAGAACAAAGACTTTTTCTTCTTTATTTCTATTCCCATTTAGACGTTTCGCTTCATCAAGGTTTAGTTTTAGCTTTTCTCTGTTTTCCGTTGAGAGATCTTGTCATAATGACTAAAGTTTGCCGTCTCGTGCAGACGATGTGTCACAGTAACGTGGCTGAAGACATGACCAAACCTCACACCACAAGATAAAGAAACGACTAGCATAAGAAATATTGCCGAAACAACCGTGGACATTTTCAAGAGGAAACTAGATTTATTCCTCCAAGGAGTTCCGGACCAACTGGGCTGTGGTGGGCCTGGGGGCCGCTCCAAGCAACAGCCTGGTGGACCAAACTCTCACAAGTCAAGCCTGGCCTCGGGCCGGGCTTGGGGAGTAGAACAACTCCCAGAACCCCATCAACCAGGACTACGTTTTGGTCCGCCCTGGACTTGATAATGACTTGACATGCGACTTGATAACTTGTTTGTTGTTGACTTGTTTTGGTCCAGGACGGACCAAAAGGTCGTCGTTTCTTCATCTTGTAGTGTGTGGTTGGTCATCATGTCTCATCCTCATCACTCTACAGTTTCCTGGTATTTTTATGCACTTCCATTATTTGTTTCACTCCATTAAATGACCTTTTTAGGGGGCGAGTCTTGTCTTTCTAATATTTTCCTATTCTCCTAAAATCACAAACATTTTCCTTTGATACGAGTCCTTCTCCCAAATCTCTCTTTACTCAATTATTTATTTGTATCTTTTCTACTGCTCTGTCCACCCTAGATGATATTTCCTTTCTTGAACACCAGACAATTATTATGGACTTACTTCTATCTGCAGCTTTTCGCAATGTGTATTATCTGAAACTTTCGTTCGTGCTAATTTTCCATTGTTTCTCAAAGTTGTTTGAGTTCAATTGTTGCCTTGGTCTTGTCGGCTAGTAGCGGCTTTGATAGTCCCGGTTAGCAAATTATTTGGGTGACATCGTCAGCGTATGTGATGTATTCTCCATGTTGGGGTTGGGGTAGGTCAGCTGTATATATATTGAATAGGGAGGGGTAGTAGTGGACCCCCTTACCCATCCCTAGGGTACAACTGGACCCCTTACCCATTCCTAGGGTAATAGTGGACCCCTTACCCATCCCTAGGGTACTACTGGACCCCTTACCCATCCCTAGGGTACTACTGGACCCCTTACTCATCCCTAGGGTACTACTGGACCCCTTACCCATCCCTAGGGTACTACTGGACCCCTTACTCATCCCTAGGGTACTACTGGACCCCTTACCCATTCCTAGGGTAATAGTGGACCCCTTACCCATCCCTAAGGTGCTGAAGTGAAGTATTCTGTCAAGTGTTCGTCATTCATTTCAGGTAAAGTTTTAAATAATTTAAGGTTAATTTTAAAATAATTTAAGGTTAATTTTAAAATAATTTAAGATAAATTTTTAAATAATTTAAGGTAAATTATATAATAATTTAAGATACAGTTTAAAATAATTTAAGGTAAAATTGATTGTTTATCTTTAAGTGTGAATAAGTGAGTAGCAATAGGAGAGCACGGCAGCATGAGCAACCTGTTGGTGCATGCAATATGTATATGACATGTCCTGGTTCTCTGGCACTCACAAGTTCACCACCCTACGCCCACCCTGCCTGTGGCACCATGTGGCACCTGTTAACACTCTGCTCGCTCACAATCCTCTATACTCTCTCACACACACACACACACACACACACACACACACACACACACACACACACACACACACACACACACACACACACACACACACAGTGGTTTAAGGATCAAGAAATACACTAAGTGTAATGTGTGTGTCATGGTGGTCACTCAGGGCCCGTGGTGGTCACTCAGGGCCCGTGGTGGTCACTCAGGGCCCGTGGTGGTCACTCAGGGCCCGTGGTGGTCACTCAGGGCCCGTGGTGGTCACTCAGGGCCCGTGGTGGTCACTCAGGGCCCGTGGTGGTCACTCAGGGCCCACGGTGGTCACTCAGGGCCCGTGGTGGTCACTCAGGGCCCACGGTGGTCACTCAGGGCCCACGGTGGTCACTCAGGGCCCACGGTGGTCACTCAGGGCCCACGGTGGTCACTCAGGGCCCACGGTGGTCACTCAGGGCCCACGGTGGTCACTCAGGGCCCACGGTGGTCACTCAGGGCCCACGGTGGTCACTCAGGGCCCACGGTGGTCACTCAGGGCCCACGGTGGTCACTCAGGGCCCACGGTGGTCACTCAGGGCCCGTGGTGGTCACTCAGGGCCCGTGGTGGTCACTCAGGGCCCGTGGTGGTCACTCGTGGCCCGTGGTGGTCACTCAGGGCCCGTGGTGGTCACTCAGGGCCCGTGGTGGTCACTCAGGGCCCGCGGTGGTCACTCAGGGCCCGTGGTGGTCACTCAGGGCCCGTGGTGGTCACTCAGGGCCCGTGGTGGTCACTCAGGGCCCGTGGTGGTCACTCAGGGCCCGTGGTGGTCACTCAGGGCCCGTGGTGGTCACTCAGGGTCCGTGGTGGTCACTCGTGGCCCGTGGTGGTCACTCGTGGCCCGTGGTGGTCACTCAGGGCCCGTGGTGGTCACTCAGGGCCCGTGGTGGTCACTGTGAGATGAGGTCACGTTTAGTGTAAGTGTTGCTAGTGACCTCCAGCACTCTGATGTGACCTTATAAACTATTCTGCCCCCCCCCCCCCCCTCCCCCCGGCCCCCCTGCCACCCCCTGCCCCCCCCCTTCCCCCCGGCCCCCCCCTGCCACCCCTGCCCCCTGCCCCCCCCCCGCCCCCCCTGGGGTACCTCAGCCCCCACCATCACCCCTACTCTTCACCACCCCGGCCCTACGCCCCTCAGAAGGCTAGGTGGGATACAAGGATGATGTCCAGTAAATGATAACATGTAAAATAGATGATTCAGCCGAGGGTAGATGATGTTCTCGGGAACAGGTAGTTCCTGAGAGTAGATGTTGGGTAGATGAGAGACGCAGGAGACCGCTCCCCTTCACGCTGAAAACGTCTCTCTCCGCCAGTAGTTTGTGTTTGAAACGAAAATTATATATTACCTTAGGAGTAGATAATGTATTTTTTGAGAGTGGATGACCTGTCCGTTGAGGATAGTTGATGTTCATCCAGGGACAGGTGGCGTGTGTGTGTGTGGCGGGGGCCGGGGTAGGTGATATCCCAGAGTAAACACCGTCCACCGGGATATGGTAGATAATGTCCCTCTGGAATAGATTAATTCATTAAGAATAGATTATATTCCTGTAGGAAGTAGATATTATGCCCATCGGGAGCATGTGATGTTCTTAAGAGGTAGATGTCCTCAATGGGAGTAGATCATATTTACCTTGCGAGTAGATGTAACCCCCCCCTTGCGACTAGACGCTGCCCTCTATGGAACTAGATGATGAACCCCCGGGGGCGTGTGGAGGCTCCCCTGGGGGAGGCTGACCAATGGTTGATCCTCCCACGCCTGGTGCAGGAGGGGTCTCCTCCAGCATCCCTCCCATCTCACCCCCTCCCTCCGTTCCTCTTCCTCCTCCTCCACCACCTCCAGTAATAGTATGAAGTTTTTCCGTCATTCTTCTAACAGTCAAATACACTTTTTTGTGTGGAAGACTGGGACCCCCCTTCCCCTCCATTGCCATTTACCACCGGCCCTAACCTACCCACACAATCACCAGTTGATTGACAGCTGAGAGGCGGGACCAAAGAGCCAAAGCTCAACCCCCGCAAGCACAACTAGGTGAATATCTAATCAACCCATACACCCACTCCACCCAGGTAATCTATCACCCAGCCAACCCTCCACCCACCAACCCGCCTAGCCAAACCCCTCCCCCCCCCCAGCCAACCCCTCCCCCCCCAGCCAACCCCTCCCCCCTCAGCCAACCCCTCCCCCCCCAGCCAACCCCTCCCCCCCCAGCCAACCCCTCCCCCCCCCAGCCAACCCCTCCCCCCCCCCAGCCAACCCCTCCCCCCCAGCCAACCCCTCCCCCCCCAGCCAACCCCTCCCCCCCCAGCCAACCCCTCCCCCCCCACATATCCCCCCCCAACACTAACCCCCCTCCCCACCTACTCCCCCCCCCTACAACCCCCCAGCCACCAACCCAGCGAGAGTACTAACACAGGCCCCTCTTCTTCAATCTTTCCAGACGATAATCCTGATTTCTACGATGATTACATGAGTGATGAGAGTAACGCTTATCTCAATGGTAAGTGAACGTTGTGTTATGTCGCAGAGTGCCCGCCGGCCCTCCTGGAGGCTCCCTAAGGTTACTGGCCCCGACGGACAGCTGGGTGTTGTGTGTGTGTGTGTGTGTGTGTGTGTGTGTGTGTGTGTGTGTGTGTGTGTGTGTGTGTGTGTGTGTGAGCAACCCGTCCTCTTAAAAATAACGTCACTTTTCGCGCGTATGCGCACTATGGCCAAATTTGGACGTAATTTGAAATGAAATCGGCTCACAAAAGTGACGTACTGTTCCGTTTTCTGTTTGAGTCGTCCGGCTTACTCGGCCAGCTTAGAAGAGGAAATTTTCCTTTAACGTTTTGAAAATTTATAAGAATTTCCTCCCAACCTAACCTATCAGAGGACCCTTAACTTACTGTTGTTGAAAAAAAAATCCCAAATTTATTTTCATTTTTTTTCATTTTCAAATTACGTCCATATTCGGCCATACGGCCAAAAGCGACGTTCTTTTTAAGAGGACAGGTTGCTGTGTGTGTGTGTGTGTGTGTGTGTGTGTGTGTGTGTTTGGGGGGGGGGTGGACCCCGGAACACAGATGAGTGAGTGGAAGCTGCCATCAGCGTGGGAGAGGAGGATGCTCACACATCTGTGACAGATGTGTAGTGCTGGAGATGCTGGGTTCAGGTGTGTGGGAACACGTCACGTGACGTCTGGGCCACAGTTAACGTAGACATTGTAATGCTGCCGTTATTCTGCCCATGCCGTTAACTGCGTTAACACTTAAAGTAATTAAGCGGCAACGACCTTTTGTTCAATTGAGCCAAGTGTAAAGCTCTCAAGGTTGTCAGTCACCCCCTAGTGTCTTCGCCCCCCTCCGCCGCCGCCCCCGACACTTCCTCCCGTTAACAACTGTACACATGTACCACCTCTGACAACTGTGCACTTAATCTGCTGCTTTGTTTAGTCTCTCTTTGAAGCGAGTCGTTGGAGCACTTCCCCCCACTGCTAAGCACTTAATGCAAGTTGTGACCCACTGTTACCCCTCGCCTCGCTCGCTCGCTCACTACTCTAGTTACCACTCAACACTGAACACACCATGCCACTCACGGCATCGAATGAGTCATGTTTATTGTGAGTGTTGACGTAAGAGTAAGTGGCGAGGCTAGACTTATAGGTAAGGCTGACCTAGACTTGTAGGTGAGGCTGACCTGTAGCGTGAGTGATGCAGCACGAGCCTGTGGTAACAGGGAGTCTGAGGCACGTTACTCACCCACGCTCCTGGCTTGTGTACCCCAGCACGCACACCCTACACCAACCTTAAGCAGCCTCCATGAATCCCGGCACTTTAGCACTCATAGTTACTCTTAAGAAGCTTTTAAGTTAAATATGTATAATAAGTATTGATGTTAATGTGTTGTAGACATGTTGTAGAGTGGGATGTGGTCGGCCCTCAACACCTCATTGTGCTACAGTGACGCCTTGTTAGTCATCTTTCATAATGCTATCTTATCGTTTATGTTATCCTGGCTTCTTGTCACTTAGTATTAAACATGTGTGCTAAGGTTTAGACTGGTGGTGGGGCGGCGCCGAGAGAGTAGAGCAGGTACGTATATTGTGTCTCTTATACTCTTGCTGACTTAATGGTCTCCAGCAACAGTGTGTGTGTGTTTACAATTTGTGCCTGCACACTCCAGCTCCTGGTGGTGGTGGTGGGAGGGATTACCTCTTAATAGATCTTTCTAACCAATCTATTTTTACTATATTATGTCTACTACATATATTTCTCTAACACACACACACACACAGGAAGCAGCCCGTAGCAGCTGCCTAACTGCCAGGTTTCTATTTACTGCTAGGTAACAGGGGCATCAGGGTAAAGGAAACTCTACTCATTTCTTTTCCCTTCCGCCGGGAATCGAACCCGGGCTCTTAGGACTACGACACCCGACCGCTGTCCATTCAGCCGCGAGGCCTCCTCGCCGCTGTGTTTGTGTGTGCGCGCGCGTGTGTGTGGGCGCGCGCGCTCTCTCGCTCGCAAGCCTTACCATAGAAAATTATATAATAAGCTTATTAGTTCTAATTGCGATTAAACTTTTAATAATAAATTTAAGCCATGTTAGAGGATGAAGTTGAATGGAAGTGTTCCGTAACCTGGTGGGTGGATGGAGTGTGCCTCCACTTGGTGGGTGGAGTGTGCCTCCACTTGGTGGGTGGAGTGTGCCTCCACTTGGTGGGTGGAGTGGCCTTCACATATACCAACATGTTAAGCAAACGTGTTGCAAATGTCAGGTAGCATAAGAGTGACAGATTGCTGGAGCTCTGGGAAATGGCACAGGCAACATGAGGGTGTTCAATGAGGTGGTAGAGGTACTTGGAATCAAGGTAGAAAATATTAATCTACTTATTATTTTAATATACAAACCGCCAGATGCAACAGTTGAGGAATTCTCTGAAGAGATCCACAAAATAGAGAATATCCGTGATAACGTAGCAAACCCAGTACCAGATATTATCTTCCTCGGAGACTTCAATCTACCCAGTTTAAAATGGAGAACAGTAAACAATAACATTATAGCAGGAAGTCAACCTGGAAATAACCAACCACAGGTCAGAGAACTACTGAGATTCTGTGACAAATTCTCGCTCAGTCAGCAGATTACAGAACCAACTAGGAATGAAAACACGCTGGACCTGATATTCACGAACAATGAGGAGCTAATCAGAGACATTACTGTCTCAGACACTACGTACTCGGACCACAAGCTTATTGAAGTGTAAACTAACATTAATAACGGTAATGGCCCAAGAGAAACAACAAGCGAGAAGGGTTATTCAATAAATTCAATTTAATAATAAAAGGATAGACTGGGAGAAAATAAACAGGGAACTTACAAACATTCAGTGGGAAAATGTTGTAAGGAATAAAAATCCTACACAAGGAATAGAAAAACTGACTTCTGAAGCATATGAAGTCTGTCTGAAACATGTTCCTTTGAGGAAAGCCAGAAAGAGGTCCAATGTAGAAAGAGAACGCAGACGACATTACAAAAGAAGGAAGAAATTAACGGAAATGCTTAAGCAGACACGACTCTCCACACAAAGAAGGAATAATTTAAACAGGGAGATTGAAGAAATCGAACAGAGACTGAAGCATTCATATCAGATTGAAGAAAGGCAACTAGAACAGAAAGCAATTCAAGAAATAAAGAAGACCCTCAAATATTTCTTCACATATGCTAAATCAAAAGCAAAAACCACTGCCAGTATTGGACCTATTCGTACTAGTGAAGGTTCGTACACGGAGGATGACACAAATTAGTGAAATCCTAAAAAAGCAGTACGAGGACATGTTTAGCACCCTGATACTCAGCATGAAAGTGGAAGATCCCGACAACTTCTTTATGCGTGATATCCAAACACCTGTAAATATAACTGATATCAAAATGGGCGTGGCAGATTTTGAAAGAAAAATTGACAATATGCCCATGCACTCAGCCCCGGGTCCAGACTCATGGAATTCAATATTTATAAAGAAATGCAAAGTGCCAGTAGCACAGGCACTCAGTATAGAGTGGAGGAAGAGCTTGGACACGGGGGAGATACCAGATGCACTTAAAGTAGCAGACATAGCCCCTCTACACAAGGGAGGGAGCAAAGCATTGGCAAAGAATTCTAGACCAGTTGCACTAACGTCCCACATAATAAAAGTATTTGAGAGAGTGATCAGGAGTCAGGTCACTAGATTTATGGAAACCAATGACCTCCACAATCCAGGCCAACATGGATTTAGAGCAGGAAGATCATGCCTCTCACAGCTGCTTGACCATTACGACAAAATCACTGAGGCATTAGAGTAAACACAGAATGCAGATGTTGTATACACAAACTTTGCAAAGGCATTCGACAAATGTGACCATGGAGTGATAGCACACAAAATGAGGTCAATGGGTATAACTGGTAAAGTGGGACGCTGGATACTCAATTTCCTATCGAACAGAACACAAAGAGTTACAGTCAATCAAATAAAGTCGAGTCCGAGTGCAGTTAAAAGCTCTGTACCTCAAGGTACAGTCGTTACACCACTACTGTTCCTCATTCCCACAGCAGATATAGACAAAACTACAAGTCACAGCTTCATGTCAGTATTTGCAGATGATACAAAAATCAGCATGAAAATTACATCTGCAGAAGACATTGAAAAACTACAAACAGATATTAACAAAGTTTTTGATTGGGCAGCAGAAAATAACATGATGTTTAACAGTGATGTATTCCAGGTACTCAGGTACGGCAAAAATGAGGGTCTGAAACATAATACAGGGTACAAAACACAATCAAATGTACCCATAGTAGGAAAACAGCATGTAAAGGATTTGGGAATAATAATGTCTGACGACCTAACGTTTAAGGAGCATAACCAAGCAAATATCGCGTCAGCCAGAAAAATGATAGGATGGATTACGAGAACTTTCAAATCCAAGGATCCCATCACAATGGTTGTACTCTTCAAGTCACTTGTGTTGTCCCGCTCAGTACTCACTTCCCCCTTCAGAGCAAGAGAGATTGCTGAAATAGAGGGAATACAGAGAACATATACGGCACGCATAGACGCAATAAAGCACCTAAATTATTGGGATCGTCTCAAAGCCTTCCAAATGTACTCACTAGAAAGAAGACGAGAGAGATATCAAATAATATACACCTGGAAGATACTGGAGGGCCAAGTATCTAATCTACACAGTAAAATAACAACGTACTGGAGTGAACGATATGGAAGAAAATGCAGAATAGAACCAGTGAAGAGCAGAGGTGCCATAGGCACAATCAGAGAACACTGTATAAACATCAGAGGTCCGCGGTTGTTCAACATCCTCCCAGCGAACATAAGAAATATTGCCGGAACAACCGTGGACATCTTCAAGAGGAAACTAGATTTATTCCTCCAAGGAGTGCCGGACCAACCGGGCTGTGGTGGGTATGTGGGCCTGCGGGCCGCTCCAAGCAACAGCCTAGTGGACCAAACTCTCACA